CCAGAAAACACTCTCTTCGTGATAAAAATGTGTTTTGGAAGCCTGGAGACAAAGTGACGTAACCATACATTTTCGGAGAAAGAGTAATATGTTTTCACTGTTTCTACGGATAAGTGACGTCCACGGTATAAGAATGTTGAAAATTCAAAAGAAGTTTTAAACAGTGAGGTTCATATTTTCCGCTTAATTTTGACATTTTTTAACAGAATGAAAATTTTTTTGGCAAATTTTTATAATTATTGCAAATTTATGCTCCCAGGTCCATGACTATAATGCACATCATTTTCGTTGTAATTGATGGTGTATGAGATGTTCTAGGTTCTCCAAGTTGCTTTGGAGTTCAGATTATTTGATCTACTGGATCAACAATGAACTGCACGATGTTCTCAGCGACAAAACCTACAAAGACATGTTCATAAAGTTTCTGCGGATCGTTTTTGATTTATTTTGATTTATAATCAAGGTTCTCCAAATTGTCTTGAGCTCAGATCAAATGATTTACCTGATCAACCATAACTGATACAAGGTCCTTAGCAACTAAACATCTCCAAACAACATCAATTTAAGGTGTATTAGAAGTTCTAGGTTCTTCAAATTGTTGTACTTGCCACACAATATACACATGTAAAAATCGAACAGGCTTGGAAAACTTTCAATTAACAACTGTGGAAGTCCATATACATATACATATACACTTCGAATGCTCACTAGCGCCGCCTAGCGGAAGAATTGTTCTGTCCATCATCCAACAGTCCTTGACCTCGTGATCAACTTTGCCCAAGAAATCATCCGTCTAAATAGTCAGGATCTTGAGATACAGACGCACAAACATATACACTTCGAATGCTCACTAGCACCGCCTAGCGGAAGAATTCCGAATTGTTCTGTCCATCATCCAACAGTCGTTGACCTCCTGATCAACTTTGCCGAAGAAATCATCCGTCTAAATAGCCAGGATCTTGAGATACAGCAGCACAAACATATACACTTCGAATGCTCACTAGCGCCGCCTAGCGGAAGAATTCCAAATTGTTCTGTCCATCATCCAACAGTCCTTGACCTCGTGATCAACTTTGCCCAAGAAATCATCCGTCTAAATAGTCAGGATCTTGAGATACAGAAGCACAAACATATACACTTCGAATGCTCACTAGCGCCGCCTAGCGGAAGAATTCCAAAGTGTTCTGTCCATCATCCAACAGTCCTTGACCTCCTGATCAACTTTGCCGAAGAAATCATCCGTCTAAATAGCCAGGATCTTGAGATACAGCAGCACAAACATATACACTTCGAATGCTCACTAGCGCCGCCTAGCGGAAGAATTCCAAATTGTTCTGTCCATCATCCAACAGTCCTTGACCTCCTGATCAACTTTGCCGAAGAAATCATCCGTCTAAATAGTCAGGATCTTGAGATACAGCAGCACAAACATATACACTTCGAATCCTCACTAGTGCCACCTAGCGGAAGAATTCCGAATTGTTATGTCCATCATTCAATAGTCCTTGATCTCCTGATCAACTTTGCCGAAGAAATCATCCGTCTAAATAGTCAGGATCTTGAGATACAGCAGCACAAACATATACACTTCGAATGCTCACTAGCGCCGCCTAGCGGAAGAATTCCAAATTGTTCTGTCCATCATCCAACAGTCCTTGACCTCCTGATCAACTTTGCCGAAGAAATCATCCGTCTAAATAGCCAGGATCTTGAGATACAGCAGCACAAACATATACACTTCGAATGCTCACTAGCGCCACCTAGCGGAAGAATTCCGAATTGTTATGTCCATCATTCAATAGTCCTTGATCTTCTGATCAACTTTGCCGAAGAAATCATCCGTCTAAATAGTCAGGATCTTGAGATACAGCAGCACAAACATATACACTTCGAATGCTCACTAGCGCCGCCTAGCGGAAGAATTCCGATTTTTTCTGTCGATCATCCAACAGTCCTTGACCTCTTGATAAACTTTGCCCAGGAAAACATCCGTCTATATCATCGGTATCTTGAGATACAGCATTCAAATCATGCAAAATAGGAGATTTTAGGGCAAAACTGTGAAAAACCCCAACTTACCCTATCGTGCTCAAGATGAAACCCACTCCAATCGATTCCTGAGACTTTTTTCTATAAGAATGACTATTTTTTAGTCTCTTGTTCCAGCGAGCACCGAAGTTATTGAATTTTACAACACATTGTTTCGATTTTGTCCCCAGTGTGCGACGTGCCAGGAAGGCAGCTCCCACACCTGGACCCTACCTATCGAACCATCAACTCATGAACCGGGGACCAACGGCTTTACTTCCCATCCGAATGAAGGCGTGATCAGAGATGTTATGCCTCAGAACATCCCGGCGGCGCCAACTGGGATTGAACCCAGGCCTGCTGGCTTACCACTACACCCCCGGCGCCGTTGAAAAAAAAAAGAAAGAATAAAAAACAACTTCAATTGAAATATAATATGCGAAATTTGTGTTTTACTTAAGTTTTGATGTGTACGGATTATTAGGGATTATAGGGACAACGATCTACCATCAGGGATAGCAGGCATATCGGAGGTGACAGCCCAAGTAACATTTTAAGTTTTATGAAGTACTACAAAACTTCTATAAAACAACATTCATAAAACCCTGGTCAAGGCTACTTTGCCATTGATGCATCCACGAAAACCTCATTAAGACTAGAATCTGTCTAGTTGGCCCATCCTGGAGAATGTTCCGAAGGGTATATTTTCGAAGCTCTTCAAGATTGATTTACTGCAAGAAGATTGTATGACGAACGTATTGAGAACCATTTGAATCCCGTATTTAAGCTACAATAAAAGCTATTTGGCAACAATAAAAACCCCTTTAAAGCCATTTTCGCTAGCCACTTGCTGAATCTACTAGAAAAATCATCAATCAAGATAGAAAAGGATTCATAAATACCATCCGATCTTAACAAAATAATGGAAATATAATCTGATCATATAAAAATCCTATTCAATTTTCAAAATTATTAAAATTGTTCTCTTACAGTGGCTACAACTACATGCCATATTAAATCTTAAGTGAAATGTACTTGAAAACATCGAAAAAAATAAGTACGCCCTCGCAAAACGTCGATTTTGCTTATTATTTTTAATTGAGAAAAAAATTAGTTTTTCTTGAAATTAATCATTAAGCTCAGCCGAAATATTTTTTATGATTATCGTATTTCAAATATCTCCTTATTGCTAATTTGACCAAAATAAAGTTATATCCAAGGAAAGACACATTGAAAACGAAGATTGTAAACATCAAACAAAACAATTGGAATATGGCGGTGGCTTAAAATTTGGTTTTCATGTGCCATTTGTTAAAAATGTTGTTTTGCATTAATGAAATCCCTAACAAATTCACAAGGTTTTGAAATGGCTTTTATGAAGAAAACTTCCTGACTGAATTGTATTTATATAAAGCCATTTTGCTTGATCCCAACCCGTTCAGATTTATGGCAGCATTTATGGAGGCAAAGTTACCTGCAAAAAGTCAAACGTCAAAGTTTGTTTTTCTTTCGATAGTTGCGTTGTTCGATCACAACAGGTTTACTCCAGCGTTCTTCCAGGCGATTTTCTCACGCTGGATTGGAAGCAGTTACTAAGGAAGTGTGCGGAACTGGTTTGCAGCATTTCGCAATATTTCGCATATATAATGGAACAGCTGGATGCTCAACCGTTCCCGTAAAAGATCCCCTTCTTCCGGATGGTTCCCGAATTGCCCCATCAAACAATGCAGTTTGAATTAAGTACACTTGAATGAAATTTCGAAACCTTTTTACTGCTATAAATCGGAAACCAGCCAATCTCCACTTACTGACAGTTTCAGTGGTTTGCTGTAAGTACAAATGCAAATTATTCTGTTCGTCCGATCTGGAGAATGCTGGTCTGTTTTTAGACTATTTCTTAAAGAATCAATACCGATTTAAATGTGATGCAAATGCCAGCAGCTCAGTAATTGCTTAAATTGACTTCCCTTGGGTAGTTAACATCGCTTGAATTTTTCATCCTACTTCGTCTACTCGTCGAGATTTCCTTGTCATAAATTTTGCTTTTATTCACTATGAGAATCCAACATTTAAGATCCAATGGTTTTATGGTTGCTTTTATAATGATAGAACAACTTTATAGAGTATTTTATCGAGGCATTAATAAACAATTGCTAATGAAGTTTATGATTGATTTACAGAACAGTTTTATGGAGGGATTGAGATCTGCTTTAAATTTATTTTTAAAACAAGAAAGATTTTGACTTTCTCGACAGACTATAAAAGGTTTTCAAAACAGCAATAAGCTGAATTATAAGCCAGGACTGTTTTACACTTTGAAATGCTATATTTAAACTAAATGGATTGTTTATTTCCTTTATAAAACCATCATAAATCAGAGTGGATGCCAAGTAGCTGCTGAATTGTTACTTGGGAGGTTGAACAAGATGGGTCCAAGGATGCTTCCTTGTGGAACACCCGCACCGATGTTGAAGGCATCCGATGTGATGCCATTCAGAGAGACTCGGAATGTCCTGTTCGAGAGATCGTTTTTTTATGATCTTCCAACCCACATCTTCCAAACGAATTCCCTCAGTCATCTGCCAGTGATCGTGACCTCTGTTCTCGTTTGCTTGTTGCATGCATTCTCACTGTTGCTGGTATTTCTCAAGCGATTTAAAAAAAAGTTGATAATGCCACCAGCGAATGCCTGTTCACTCGTTGAATTTTCACCGAATCAATCCCCCTATTCTGCGAGTCACGTGACTCTCTTTCTCTCTTACAGGTGAGATGACAATTGTCACCTCGTGTGAGGTGACTCTCCATTTTATTTGCACGGAGAGTCACCTCAACAATTATGGTGACAATTATCCCGGAATCTACAAAAAATCTTAATTGGTCGAGTTGGGGGTACATACAAATGTAGAATCGATCACACCTGTTTGGTAAACGAATGAATAATAATAGTAGAACAAGAAAATACAAAACTCATATTTATTAAGACAATTTGTTCGAAAGCTTTATTAACATACGTATTTACAGTTAGAATACACACTTTTTGCAGTAGTCACGACTACTCATCAGGTTCTCATAAATACCTCACTAAATACAAAAGAAACTTATCACAATTTTTAGACTTTTTACACAGTACTCCTTCTGTTTCGGATAATCTCGCTTACGTCCTTCGAGATCTACAGCTTTTCCCCGCTCATGTTGAGCATATTGTAGTAATTATGATCGGGGAACCGTTCCAGCTCGATGTAGTCGGTCTCGGTTTGGAGCAGTCGATCGAGCATGGTTACCACCTCGGGAAAATCAGGTCTCTCGTTCGGATCCTTGGCCCAGCAGTAGAACATAATGTTGTACAGTTCTCGTCGGCAGTGTTCCGGTTTCTCCAACCGATAGCCATCACGTACCTTCCGCATCACGTCGGCCGCCGCTATGCCCGGATAGGGCGTCGAACCGAGCGTCACTATCTCCCACATCAGGATCCCGAAGCTCCAGATGTCGGACTTAACGGTGAATATGTTGTCGTACAGGGACTCGGTAGCCATCCACCGAATCGGCAGTCGACCTTCGCTCTTTCTCTCGTACACCTTGGAGGTGACGATGTCACGGGCGAAGCCAAAGTCTGCCACCTTGCAGGTGTGATCGTCCGTGATGAGAATATTACGCGCTGCCAGGTCGCGGTGGATGATCTGCGGAGGAAAGTTACCGTGATTAGTGTAGTTTAGTTGGGCATTATTTCAGGTAGCTTACCCCTCGTGACGTTAGGAAGTCCATTCCCCTCGCAACTTGGTACATGAAGGACGTTAAATCCCCGGACGTTAGGATTTTCGACTTCCCATGAGTGTTTCCATAGTGTCTGAAACGAATGAAGAAGTTAACTGTTAAACTAGACTTCTAGTAGACCGGACCACGTACTTCTCCACCCGGGAGTTCCTCAGGAACGTCTGCAGCTTGCCCATGTTGACGTACTCGAGTATCACGAAGATGGGATCCTTCTCGGTGCAGCACCCGAGCAGCCGGACCACGTTGATATGCGGTTCGAGAGACTTCAGTACCTGAAGCTCCGACAGCAGGTCATTTCGTTCTGCATCGCTGGCGTTTTCCTTCAGCGTCTTGACGGCGGTTATCGACACGCCATCCTTACCGTCGATGTCAGTGGCCTCGCAGCGCCAAACCTGACCGAAAGCACCCTCCCCGAGAATGTTGAACACTTTTAGCCGGTGCCGTGGGAATTCCCAACGGTCCTTTGGACCACCGTTCATTCCCGAAGTGTTGGAACTACCCGTCGATAGTTGGGATGTCACCTGAAAGCATAAGTTCATCGCATGTCTCGCATTGAAATCATTTGACTCGACAACTTACCTGTATATGTCCATTTTGGTCCCGATCCCACGGGGACGTGTATCGATTGCTAAATGCCATCGGCCCACTCCAGTGGTTCATACCGATCGAGTTCCTACTGTCTTCGGCCGTGGTGCTCGACGCGATATTGCTACTGAGATTGCTTTGGTTTGACTTTTTGGCTTTGTCGATTTTGTTCTTCTTCTTGAGCGTCTTGCTGATGGCGCACAGGTATTTGCGGAAGATACAGACCGCTATGAGACCGGCAGTAAGGAAGATTACCGCTACCGAGATGATGACCGGCACGAAGGCAGCCAGCGGGTGTGGTTCCCCAGTTCCACCAGGTTTCGTCCGAACCGGAGTCGTTTCGGTGAAAGCAGTCGTGGGAGTTGACTCCGATGTCACCGGAATTGGCGTCGACACCGGTGTGAGTTTGGTGATGGTACCGTTGCTGGTAGCGGACTGCTCTGGCGATTCGGTGTTGGATTCCGGTCGATCCGGATAGGTTTTGGTTTGTTTGGTTGCGGAAGGCTCGTTCGGAGGAGGCTGACTGACGACCAACGGCTGTGTTGGTCTAGGTGGAATCGGTGGCGGAGGGGGTGGTGCTTGCGGGATGGAACTGAACCCAGGAGGCAAGTTGAATCCAGGCGGTAGGATCTTCCGAATATTGTTGATGTTGGGAGTGAACTGCGGTCCACGGGTCTTGTAGAGACCGGAAGCATTTTGACTTAGAATGTTGACGTAAACCTCGTTCTTGGACGTTACCCGACCATCCGTGACCGTTACGTAGACGAAGAAGTTTTGACCGCCCTGTAATGAGACGCCATCAGTAGTCAGTTTAATAGTTTTTTTTTTTGCGCAAAGGTAGCTATGCCCAACTCACCTTCCCCTCGATGCTCTCGTTCAGATACACGTATCCAGTGTTTGAGTCGATGACGAATGGCTGGAGCTGTCCGGGTCCCAGCGGGTCCAGACCAAACTCTAGCTCGTCGTTGTCGTTGTCCTCTGCCCGGACCTGGGTGATGAGGGTGTTGACTGTGGTGTTTTCCCGTAACCGCCAGTTTCGGTCAACCAAGATCACGGGAGGGGTGTTTAGGTCCTGTGAGTCTGAAATGGGTAGCAAAGGGCACTGCATTAGAGCGGTTCCATATCATTAAAGCAACGAGTAATTTTCATCTTTTTTGATTTGCATGAAACCTTGCATACAAGTTTTTGGGGAAGAAAAACGCCTTTTTGCATACTTGGTTCGCCATTTTGAATCTAGCCTTACTTATGAGAAGGGCCTATGAAAAATGCACATGATATCTTCAAAAAATTGTATCTCGGAAACGGTTTGTCCGATTGGTTTGGTGTCTTGGGCGAAGTTTTAGACAATTGTTGGTGTTATATGGAGAAAATATGCACGGTAAAAAAAAAGTTTGGTATTTGTGTTTTGAACTAAAATATAAATTTTCCCTTTAAAGTGACATGTCAATAATTTTTTTATTATTCTTATGTTATAGCTGACTAAAAATGCTATCTAGTGCACAGTAAGTTGTTCTGGAGAAAAATAGGTTACGATGAAAAAAATTGTTTTTTGAAAAAATACAATTTTCAAAAAAGCTATTAAGCTGTTGGAAGATAGGTAGAGTTGAACGCTCAGGTATCGTCGAACCTTCAGGTACGAGTTTGGAGAGTTGGAGAGAGGTAGATTTGCTGGCGTAGGTATATTGTTATTGAAGAAGATTGTAAATTGTATATACCTGGAATGAATAAAGAGTGCGGCGGTTGTTGATTGAGGTATCAGTCGGCAGCCCTCTAGTTTGATTGGAGGTGACTACTGCGTTCTTTTTATTTATTATTAAGGAACGGTCAACGACGGAGCTAGCCTCGTTATGGCCAGCGTGGCCATGGTGGACTAGTTCCAACAAAGACCATGTTTACAATCACCAACTGTACGTAGTACAGCTAACTGGTATCTGATTACCTGTATCTAATACTTGTTAGCACGTTTTCAGCACAACGCACCAAAAATCATTTGAAGAAATCATTGTTCCTGATAGTGGGATTTTGTAACTTGTTTTTCAAAATACTTTTAAGGCAGAGAATTTCACTCGAATCTTTAAGCTGTCAGTGTCATTTTAACTCAAAATTTTCCAATCTTTCCGAAAAAAATACTTTTGAAACTGGAAAAACACGGAGTACATCCGAAAAGGGCCAAAACTTATTAAGTTATCAAAAAAAAAACAATATTAAATCAGTAATATCTTCTAAACGGTGCATCTTAGAAAAATGTTACCGGAGTACTTTTTGTTTGCAAATTTGATGTACTTTCATAAAATTAGGGTGACAAACTTTTTTGACTTTTCTTAATAGCTTTTTTGAAAATTGTATTTTTTCAAAAAACAATTTTTTTCATCGTAACCTATTTTTCTCCAGAACAACTTACTGTGCACTAGATAGCATTTTTGGTCAGCTATAACATAAGAATAATAAAAAAATTATTGACATGTCACTTTAAAGGGAAAATTTATATTTTAGTTCAAAGCACAAATACCAAATTTTTTTTTTTACCGTGCATATTTTCTCCATATAACACCAACAATTGTCTAAAACTTCGCCCAAGACACCAAACCAATCGGACAAACCGTTTCCGAGATACAATTTTTTGAAGATATCATGTGCATTTTTCATAGGCCCTTCTCATAAGTAAGGCTAGATTCAAAATGGCGAACCAAGTATGCAAAACGGCGTTTTTCTTCCCCAAAAACTTGTATGCAAGATTTCATGCAAATCAAAAAATACAAAAAATAAAAACTGGAAAAATTTCCCACTTGTTCGTGGAACCGCTCATTAGTGTTAAGTCTGATGTTTTGATTGAAGGACGACGGTCACCCAACCGTTATTTTTTGTACCACATTTTCAATAGAGCTTAGAGATTTTAAGTTTTTGTTTTATCATACATATATTGCTCGAATAAAGCTTAATATAGGCCATTCCACTAGCCCATACACAAGCGTATCCGGAGATGAACCAGTATCTGACTGAAAGTCTCCTTATGACCGAAGTGCAGAAAATTAATCCTTGATTTAATTGTTCACTTAGATAGTAATATGATCAAAATTGTTTAAACTTTTTTTTTTCGAAATTCTCGCTCAGAGCTGAGAATAGACTATATTTTCATCTCTCATTCTCCAACGATTATTCATTTTCCATTTTCATGAGAGATCAAAATTGAAATGAGTTGCACCACAACCGTTAATCACCCTCTCGCTGATTGACACGGTGAGTAATCAGGCAATCTCTTCCGTACGTGGGTATGAGCGGTCATCAACACCGGTCATCGATTCATGCGGGATCAGGTGAGAGTACCACCACCGGTCACCCCGCGGTGATGAAAAGTGCAGAAATTGATAATGAATATCGAAAGTGATGTGGAATCATTAATCATCGATTGTATTACGACGAGGCACTATTGCTACAGAGTCCGCGCCTGCTTAGACATGACGTGAGAAAAAGCGTAATGTTGATGACCAGCATCGGACGGTCTCGCGATGACGTGGGGGACGGAAAGTTTGTTCGCATGTGTGACGAAACGGTGAGAAGAGTGAGCGATGGACGGCGAACAGCCGCAAGGCAAGCTTGTTTTCCCGATGCTTTCTACATTGGACAGACGACGCTGGCCAGCGGATGGAAACCAAGTCAATGGCCTTTGCGCATGGATGGTGAAATGTAGGCGAAACCGATCGGTTGACGTTCTGCTCGCAAAACGTGGTTAGAATTGTAATTTTAATAAACACTGGATCAATGCTCCCAAAAGATGTTTTCCCCCTGAACCTCTCACGATCGACACACCGTCACTTGCAAGTATGCGAATTGCGAATGCACACTTGAGCGATTCGCTAGAAAAAGGTTCCATTATCGGTTTTCACATTGTCGACAATCTCGTCAAACGCGTTGCGATGGAAACGAAAGCCTTCATAAGTGTGCGATGGTGTTATTGATACCTCCGTGCGTTTTTGCACGTTCATCGAGCTATTGGAGAGTTGGACATCTGTCAGGCTGGTGGTTTTCTTGGAATCATGATCGATCTGCACTGTTGAATGCTGTTTTTTTAAAGCATAGTTCGTCTTTAGTAGATATTTATGGGAAACTTGTCCCTCAGTTAATGGTTGGTCGATGAAATAAAATCGCACTATTTAGCGGGAGAAAATTATGTTGGAATCCCCCGAAGTGTTCGTTGGGAAATTTAATTAAGCTCTCGCTTGTTTTTGGCTGTTTTCTAACCTTTCGAGTTCATTATTTAAAAAGATTGGTGCCAATTGAATAAAAAGTCTCATAACTGAAGGCGAAATGAAGCGAATTTCGTATGAAAAAGTAGTTTCGACCGGTGTACATAATGTGACTCCACCCAACTAACATTGCTAGTTTATAGAAGTTTCGAAACATTCTATAATTCTTAATCACGATCTTAAGATCCCTTTTAAAACCAAAATTGTTACTTGGGTAGTTCGGTTGGTTATGAAACATCCGAATAATAGTTTAACCATACTCTGCGGGGGAATGCTGTTGTTGGAAACAGAGAAACTTGGTATTATTTAAATAGTTTACAATTAAACAAATTCTAATGAAATAAGGATAGAGCCCTACTTCGACGTAAGCATCTATTTTTGTCCTAGTTGTAAGAAAAATGTGAATTATACGTTTTCTCCGATAATTTAGCTCAAAATAAATACAGGGTGCGTGACGATTTTTTGCAGTAAATTTCAAATAGTAATTTCTCATGCTAGTGGATCATGATTTAGATATATTTGGCAGCACTGGATAGATTTTACGGTTAGGTGCAAGATGTAATCAAACAGAGTTGAGTAAACGTAAAAATGTCGAAACAAGAGAGCAATCGGTCATCCGTTGTCGCTTAGTTGCGCGCCGGAGTAGGAGTAAAATAAATAATTCGGTCGGTAAATGTGTCTGAAAGAACAGTGTAAGATATCAAAAAGGCTTGAGAAAGTGATAAGACCGAGCACCTGCTCATACTGCTAATAAAACACAGAAATGGTTTGCGGAAAATATTAAGGAATATTGGGAGAAAGAAATTTGGCCCCCAAGCAGTCCCGATATCAATCCGTTTGACTATTTTGTATGGGGCTTCGTCGAACGGGATACCAATAGAACCCCTCACACCACACTTAAGTCGCTAAAAGCTAAAATCAAGGCAGCGATGACATCTATGGGTCGAAACATTGTAAAACCACAAACGAAGTTACAGACGACTTTCTCCGAAGAAATTAATTAATATAATGTGGTGCTCTGTAATAGAATTTTAGACCACTTTCCGCCGCTCACCGACAGGTGCGCTAGTATTTTTGATTTGAATTAATTGAAGTTGGTTTTGTGTGCAATGATCTGGCAACTCGCGTTCTCACTCGCGTTGACGGGGTGCTGTTTTCTCACTCATCGAAGGAAATTTTGATTAGAGTGAGAAAGTAAGGAACAGTCAGCGCGGGAACCGTGTGCGGTACTATAGTAGTCAACTCCTTCGTTCTCACGGTGTTCTTACGCATGATCCAACGTTACGTCACACTAGATTATGCATAAGAACGTCGTGATAATGAAAGAGCAAAGTTTGTATGTTTGGGAGCCTCTCGCATTCAACTCCCATTCCCCCACCATCCGATTGAAACGGGCCAGATGAAGTGGGTTTGTGTAATTGAATTAGTGATTTCAAACTGCACATTGTATTATGTCCTAAGTAACATTGACAGATTCTCTTCGTTGAATTTTTCTTTGCATCACCATGGCCATGTAAAGACATTCCCCGGTATTTTCAGCACACAGATCGATAAAAGAAGCTTTTGTCTAGCATCTAATACGACAAACACATCAATAAACGGTTATGTGATAAAGTTATTTACGAAAAAGAAAGTCGACGAATAGAATCGATCAATGTTACTTAGGACCTAATGCAATGTTCAGCTTGATTTATTAGCAAAAATAACCGGCAGCAGCAACATAAGAGTGGCAATGGCGAACATGGGTATCAGTGGTCGGTCCGAATGTGGTTTCTCCCCGTCGTCGTGGTCCTTCCCACTCTCCTGGTAGAGAACGAGCTGTGAGATAAAAACTAA